TGATTCTGTGGGCACGTGAACTTCAAGTAATAATCAAGTGGCATGACTATATTAGTTTTTTCCTATAGGGTCAAGCTGACCAGCAGCCACACTTTCAAGGGTACCACTCGACTGTACCCATTTTTCATGCATGGGATTTAAAAAATCAACCACAGACATTAACAGAAGATGGTGTCTTAATGTGGCTATCACATCAAAAAATTACCAAGGATAAAATTTTAACTTCGGAAATCACTTTCTCTAGAAGTGCATCTTTATAGCCCTACACCTAATTTTTAAATCCAAAGAGTAAAGGAAAGAAGAATAACGGAAAGGAGTGAGGGGATGGGAAAGCACAATCTTCATTCAGCCACTAATGTAAACTATTTTCATTTTAATTAAAAAAATATTCTTGTATGGCAGTCAAAAACAATGACTAGGAAGAATGGTTTCATTCTGCTCAAGCACAAGTTTAAGACAAAGTTTCTTTTAATCCCACTGCAAGTACTAAATCCATAGGTTTTCAAAGTCTCAAGATTCGAATTTACACATTAGTGAAGTAATTTCAAGAGTTTAGTAAGTGCAGTAACAAACTATAAATTCTGTGAGGCTCATAAACTTGAGTTTAGAATGAGTACAAGCTTAGGTTTTTAATCCTCAACAATTAAGTCAAATGATCTGCCATCTTGAATTTTCCATGATCAGAACATTAAAGTCCTAGTGCTGAATTTCAGCAGCTGATCAATTTTAAAAAGCCATTACTGAGAGCAATGCCAGTCTCTAACTGGTGAATGGACAACTTAGACAACAGTAAACTAGAATAAATAAGGTCCCCTGAACAAACACTTGACAATTGCTATAAGCTTAAATATACCAACAATATTTTAAATGGAGGGATTTAATTTTATAAGTTATGAGGTTCTTTTTCTATTTGCTAACGTAACCCAATGCAGGTAGAGTATACTCAATTTTAAAGTGACAGAAATTTATGTTGGGAAACACATTAATAGATGCCTGGTACATTATAAGTTACTCAATAAATATTTGTTGCATGAATATACTTCTCTAAAATTCCAGTTAGTAAATGTCAAGTTTGGCTCCTGAAGTACCTAAGAAAGGAAGGGAAACAATTTGATAGATGTTACCCAGTAGTATACTCTTCACTTAGAATTTTAAATTGAGTATTTTCTGGGAAAAATAAGAGATACAAAACTTTTTAGACTGGAGGACAGACAGGTACCAAGAGATTTTCAATCATATTCATCTGTACACATTATGATTGCCAAACATTAATTATCACAAACTTACAAGTGCTATTTTTAAGGCTCAGTAAAATAGAAAATTAAACACTTTAAGTTATACTGACCATAGCAACTTTTGCCTAAAGAGGCTATTCACATAAAAAGTACTAAAAAAAAAGTCATCTAATGATTTCCTGTATATTTTGTGACTTGTTCCTTAAAGGTACTTTTCCCCTACATTGCTTATGTGTTCCCTAATTTAATATGGCTACCTCCACCAAGTGAAAGTGCTAAAAGTAGATCTCAATTGTATAACATTTGTCAACAAGATATGGTGAAAAAGAACTTAGTGCTTTAAAGTATACCATTAGTTTTCTAAGGGAGATACTTAATAAAAATGAGACCAATGTAAGAAAACTTCACAACATTAAGCCTCTTCACATTATGTGAGCTAATACACAACAAATTAAAATTTAGCATCCCTGATCGTCAGAAGATTCACGAAAAGAGGTAGAAAATTTTTATCTGGAAGATCTCATAGTGAAGCTAAGTTTTAGAGGGTCTGCTTTAAGGATTAGCCCACCAAGCAAATGGCTATACATCTAATATTAGGAAGAAGCTTATTCAGGTAAGGCAACAGTTTTCAAACTGCCATATTTTGGAAGTGAAACTAACTCATTCAACATTATTATCCCAATTACTTTAAAACTCTTCAAAAGTCCAAGATCAAGATCATGGATAAGCAAAGTTATAATTTGCAGAAAGGTGAAATTATTACAAGAGCATTAGTGGCAGGATAAGGCTAAGATATAAAAACATAATGTTTAGATAAGCAAAAGATCTCACAAAATCCAAACCAAAGCATAATCATTAGCACTTTCGATAAAGATTTTTTTTAGGAGTTGGAGGAAGTGCTCTTAACAAAAAGCTGAGGAAATTTAATCCCTTCAAATCTTTATGTAAAAAGGCAAAATTCAAGCATTCAAATTTCATGGTACTTCAGTTAAAAAAATACCCTGCTTAACTAAAATGTATCCAATGCGACCAAGATTAATAAATGAGTTGCATTAAAACACGAGGCCAATGGTCTTTTAAAGCTTCAGCAAGCTGCTCAGGCACCTTTTCCCTCATACATTCTCCTTCTCTACCCTAACAATCCTAAAGTGGGCACCAGCAGTTTCTGTTTTTAGGTAACATTCTCAGGGAAAGGCTCAACCCTGTAAAAATTGCTTGTAATGTACTTGTAACTGGTTAAGTGCACATTTATAAAGTCTACCAAATTGCAATATAAAATCAGTTTTGACAAGTCGGTGTATCTTCTTTTGAGGCATCAATTCATAATTTAGACACTATTAACACAAGAGTTTTTAAAAGGACGCAATTACTGGAGACACCGTGGTTTACGTCCAGTGGCCTCACAGGAAGCCTTCCGCTTTACCCAAAACAGGCAGCCGTTTTCTTCTACACGTTAGTGCTGCTGGGTGCTAACTTATAACACGGAAACTCAATCTTCAGGTTAGTGCCGGCAGGTAGAAAGGACCACCTGTCCTGTCACCCCAGCAGGAAGAGGGCATGTATCACCGCTGCAGACACATCTGTAAACGTGCACACTAATTTTAATCTTAACAAGGAATTTCAGTGCCTTCGTGGTTTTCAGTTAAAAGGATGATTCAAGCATGGTGTCTTTAAGGTTACGAATAGCTTATTGGAAAACCCAGAACCTTCTGGATCTGTGAGGTAGTAGGGGTCAATCCTCATCACGCAGAGATCACACTTCTCCGAAGTTGGTGTGGCCCGTCTCTTTGGCATGTTCCCTTGCTTCTGCCTGTCCAGTTAACCCCTTTTGACATATCATGCATCTCAGGGTGAAGCGGTTGACATCCGTAAACTGTCTCTTCCTTTTAGCTTCATCTGCTAATTCCAGTGCTTGTACCAGAACGATATCATCATTAGAGGAGAAAATGGTTAGAGGAGGGGTGTCTGGGTCAGGAAAGTTACGCTGAAGCGGATCGTAGTGGACGCCATCGTATATAAGCAGGACCCTTTTGGAATAGCCTGCGTCTTCCCCAAAACGGTCAATTCTTACTGTCTGTGTATCCACCACACAAATTTCGCACTGATAAAATTTAGACAAAATCGATATTTCAATAGCTCCTCCCCACGTGTCATCCCTTTTGATCCATTCACAGTACTCTTGATTTGTTTTCCCCAGGATCGCTTCGCTATAGAAATCCGGGTCGCTTGCTACAATTCGTGCTATGAGGCGTCTCATCTCAGGGGCACAAGCTGGGTTCAGGACCCCTCCTTCAACAACATAGTACACACTGGTGAAGAGGCAAGAGTTGTCTGCTGGGACCACGGTCCTGGTAAGCACGGGCACCGTGTCCCTGACATAACCAGGAGCACCATGTCTGGTAAACGCAGGTGAGGCGTGGGGCCTGGCTTGGTCTTCTTCAACGATCAGCATGTCGCCTGTTAAAAAAAAAGAACACAAATCCAGAACTGCGGAGACGAAACGGGGAGTTCACTAGCCAAGTCTGTTAATCACAAACAGAAGGAGTTAAAGTATAAGCTGGGGTCACCAGGGAGAACCCAGCTTTGCAAACCAGTGACCACCAGCTAATACTGCTTTGTTCACCGGATCTTCATCAAGTTCAAGACAAACAACGACCAGAACATCTTAGGTTGCACCCCAACTCTGAGAAGGGGCCGGGGCTAAGCACCTTCATAGTTTCCCGAAAAGAGACATCGCAAGAACAAAATGTCCTTATGCTTGTTTGCTCTCTCTTTTTAACCAGCGCACTTCTTCCACCAGCTGTTCATCATCGTCTGGACCACTAGGGGGCTCCCCTCCCCCTGAAAGTTACCCAGCCTGTTTGCTGTTTACAGGATCCCAGATACAACCGCGGGAAGCCTTTCAGGATCAAGGCTGCTATTCCAGGTTCCATGCTGGACAGAAATAGCTGCTGCTGCTCAGAACTTGATGGGCCCTTCAGTGGCTGTGCACAGGCAAGCGCTACAGCGAGGACACCCGCCCAAGGCAGTATATACACAGGAAGGTGATCGCAAAAACAAACCAGGGAAGCAAGCAAGACAAGCACCCCGCATCCTTCAGACCTGCCATGTTCGTTCAGCGGTACAGGGGGCAAGGACCATCAGGACGGAGAAAATAGGTCCTACTGAATGCGTGCCTTTGTGGATGCCGAGGGAAAACAAAATGAATGAGAGGTTTCGCAGACAGACTAGAAAGCAGATGGAGGAAGGGGGCACTCAAAAGCTTTGACCCTCCCTGTCTCTTTCAGCGCGTCCCGGCCTCCGCCCGAGTTCTCCAGCTTCCACCTGCCCGCAGCCGGGTCCTCAAAGCCCCGGGCCGGCCCGCAGCCGCCGCGCCTCTGCTGTGTGCTCTCCCGCACGGCCCTGGCCATCCTCCCAGGGCTTCCCCGGGCCCCAGCCCCGACGCCCTTACCTGACTGGATGGGCAGATCCCCCAGCATGGCGTCCCCATTGCTGAGGTCCAGGCACTCGGGTGGGTATCCCACGAGGATTCGCTGACAGTCCGGGGCGATCCCCGTGATGGCAGCAATTTGGCCCTGGAGCTCCCGCACCCGCGTCCGGCTGGACAACTCCTGCAAAACATAGGTGCCGTCCTTGGCTTTGCAGCGGAACCGCCACATCGTGTCGGTCCGGCCACCCATGGGCCTGACAGCCGCGGGGCCGGCCTTGGTCCCGGCAGCAGGATGGCAGACGCCGCCGCCGCCGGGGCACTCAGCCTCCGCGCGGACTCCAAAATGGCTACCCTTCGCCGGGCCAAACATCGCGAGAACTCGAGAGCAGTCACCGTTTTCGCGATACTTGGACGCAGCTTCGTTTCAGCCCTTGAAGCAGAGCGAGTTCTCTTAAAGGGACAGCTAATTCCCCACTCCTCCCGCCTCTTCGGGAGCCGAAGGGTGAAGATGTATCAGTATTTCTAAAGAACAAAAGGTCTTGCTACCTGTAGGTCGAGTGAGGTGCCCTCGAAATCGGCCGCATATATGCTCAAGGCGAGAGGGCGGGGAAGGAGTTCCTGAATCCAGTACATTGGAATGTCGTCTTGCACTTACTTGAGGTCGGGAATTATTAAATTGGGGCTTGCGAACTACACCGGGAGAAAGAGAATCATGGTTCAGCACGCGAATGAATGCCAAGCATGGTCAGTGAGTCAAAGGACCGGCCGAAAATAACCAGGGGCGCAGGAATAGACTCATGGCGGCGGCAAACATTGACTCACTGAAGTTGAGGGGTGACTGGCCTCTCCACCTGCAGGAGACTGTCACCTGCAAACGCCCATTGGCCACATCAGAAAGCTCAGTATGAGGTCAGACTCAGGCTGTGCCACTGCCCTCGGCCCCAGGGCAATTGCCACCTGCAGGGAGGGGTTGGCAGCATGCGGAGAAGGCACGAGGAGGACTTGTGTGTGTCACCCACATTCCAGCTCAGGCCCCGAGTATACAAACAGGAAGCTGGTTCCCTTCCTGCCTTCCGTGTGACAAGCACTGTGATCGGAAGAGAGGGTGGGGTGTCAAGGACCCCTAACCCCTGAACTTCACAGCAACGTGATAATGCGAGGTTATGTGACCCCTTTCAACCCTGCATCCCTAGAACCGACGGCTGTGTCCAGCAAATAAATGCTCAGTCAATGCCTGCCGAATGGATAAAGTTACAGAGGGCAACTATCATAGACTGAGCGTTGTGATAGGGCTTCACTATGAGATGTTTGAAGGAAGACTTCAACCCCCAGCCGAAGGAGAAATAAAGACATCTCTGAGTTTACCTCTCTTGCAAGGAATCCACACTCATTGTTCGTTTTCCATCCCCTTAGAGCAGTAAGCCCAGACCTGCGAGGAGGAGGTATATCAACAGAATCGAGCGTCAAGCGCACGTGGAAAGTGTCCTTGAGATGTGCAAACTCACCTCCCCTGCAAACACCTCCACCTCTGCGTAAGTTACGTGTAACCTTTGAGTCTTTTCACGCCGTTCAGGACCCGTTTTCCTGCTGGAGCCGTTTTCCTCTTTGGTTCTTCAAGATGACCCGAGCAGAAGGCACAGTGTGGGCGGTCGGAGGGGGTGATGAAGGTGGCAGACGTCCACTGGCATATGCGTCCACTGGCATATGCGGATGAGTCCAGAGAAGCTCCCAGCTCAGCAATGAGTTGCTTTTCTTAATTTAGAAAGTCTGGCCTATGAGAAAGATATGCAAACACCCCAAGCCAGTGGTTCTCAACCTTCTGGCCCTTTAAATACAGTTCCTTATGTTGTGACCCAACCATAAAATTATTTTCGTGGCTACTTCCTAACTGTAATGTTGCTACTGTTATGAATCGTAATGTAAATATCTGATATGCAGGAAGGTCTTAGGCGACCCCTGTGAAAGGGTCGTTCGACCGCCAAAGGGGTTGCGACCCACAGGTTGAGAACCGCTGCAAGCTTTAGGTAACCAGCTCAAGCGCGGAGACTCAAGGCGGAAAGGGTTAACCTCCCCAAAGTTGTGTCTTCAAAGTCACACCCTCTCCAGACAGCTCCGTCCACTCTCGCGAGAGTATGCAAAAAAGACACAGCTTTCCACAAACCCCGCCCCCAGCCTTCTTAGTTGCCGAGCAACGATGCAACCAACCTCCACGGTGCGGGGAAACTTGGGAACGTGCTCTCTTTCCCCTTCACAGCGCCGTCCTCCTCGGGGAGCCTGCGTCAGCGAGTCCTCCTGGAGCCCCGCCCCCTGGAGTCTGCGGGCGCCGATTGGTCGAAGATTCTCTCCAGGTGAGGACCAACGTGGGGGTGGGTGGAGCCAGGCGGGGGCACTTGAATTGCGAATGACTGGTGTGCCGGGCCCCAGGCCGCCGGGTGTGGGCTGGTGTCTGCTTCGTTACCGGGGAGCTGCCGGGGTCGCTGCCGGGAGGGACCTTGGGGATCACCGGGTGAGCAACAGCTGCACTGCGCCTGCAAGAGGCTGGGAGGGCGGGAGGAGGGGGACTGCGTACACCCGGATGAGGTGCGAGACGAAGGTGCCCTGCTGTTTCGGGGAAGTGCCGGCCCCGAGACGCAGCCCGGAGTGCGGACCTTCAGGGACTTGGATCACAGCAGGTGTCTGGGTTGGAGGATTTGCGTGGTCAGTGGGAGCGCAGCCAGTGCCAGGTCCTTAAAGCCATAGGACCGTCCTTCCTCACGAATTGCTTGTCTGGGTTTGGGGAGTGAGCTCGGGGGCTCTCCCACCCCAGTTTGAACTGATCTGATTACACCTTAGGGTGTTTGCATACCCTTATTCTGTAGATGACCTTGAGGAAGTCATTTACCGCCTCTTTTGTGCCCCCATGTTCCTTCTATAGACCTTGTCTCGGGGTCAGATGAGGAGACGGTGCAGAGCAAGGGCTTGAGAATAAGAGCGCCAGAGGAGAAATGGTGACGTGCTGGAAATGGGGTGTCTGTCCAGTTACAGTTTTGCCTTAAGGGAACACATTTGATATTTTCCCACTTTCTCATTTTTTTTTTTCAGGACTGAGTCCTACCATTGGACTGCCATTTGTTTGTAATAATGAACTTTATCTGTTCACAACCATCCCCCCCCCCACCTGCTGCCACTCCTCTCCCCAGATTCTTAACTAGAATTTGAGGTCAGCAAGGACTTGGATGAGCCACAAAATTTGATTGACCTCAGTTTTTCAATCTGTAAAATGGGAAGGAGTAATAAATGGTAGTAAAATCTGCCTTATTACAGGAATATTGGAAAGAGTGAAGGCGATAATTTATGTGAATGTTACTCTTAAATCAGTATTATAAATGCAAGATTCTAGTGCTCTATTTTTATGTAGAGGAGGAAACCCCGAGGGCTCTGGGTTCACGCCTTATCCTAGGGCAGTGGTTCTCAACCTTCTGGCCCTTTAAATACAGATCCTCATGTTGTGACCCAGCCATAAAATTATTTTCGTTGCTACTTCATAACTGTAATGTGTCTACTGTTATGAATCGTAATGTAAATATCTGATATGCAGGATGGTCTTAGGCCACCCCTGTGAAAGGGTCGTTTGACCGCCAAAGGGGTCTCGACCCACAGGTTGAAAACCGCTGTCCTAGGGCATGTAGCTATTAACTGGGAGAAAGAGGGCTGGACTTTTTCACTGATACCTCAGGGATCCATTCTTCACTGAGTGTTTTGAAGGACGTCTTCTTCCTTCCCTCCCTTACATTCCTTTTGTCCCTCCCAGACCTCTGAAGTGCCGCCATAGCCATGTCTGAGGATACTGCGTCTTCCTCAGAACAGAACAATAGCAGCAATCAAACCACAGCCTCCAATCTTCGACTGTCCAAGAAGATATGTTGTAAGTTCTGGCAAAAAAGAGGGTTGCACTCTCCCAGAATTTTATCTTGGGAATACAGTTGTCATCCGAGACTTTGCTGCTTGGTGGGAGTGAGAAGTGATTCTTTGACATGGGAATTGAAAACAAAGTCTACAAAGGGAAGAAAAAGTAGACTCGGTGAAGTGTCTGTCCTTGGGGCTAGCCTGCGGGTGGAGCCCAGCATTTTCTTACTGCTCTCTTCACCTGAGTCTGTCTCCTGGGAGTATCTGCACCCTGCAGGCTAAAAGCTAGGGCAAGCAGTAGTAGTACACACTGGGAGGGACCATGGGCAGGAATTACCTGGGGCTGACATTGTGGACAGTTTCCCTTGGTTTTCTTGGGCTACCTTTTGGGAGGGTGCTGCTCATTGGAGAAATTGCAAGTAGGAACCCATTGCTACAGCCCTCCGTGGAACCAGCCCTGACATTAGACTTTTCTCTGTGTCTTGGGCACCTTACTTTCTCACAGGTTTAGCTTTTGAACTTTGCAGATTATGTTCCCTACAGATTCATTCCTTTGGGGATGAGGTTTCACCGGAGTTTTTTAATGCTATTTATTTAGACAGAGGTGGTAGGTGGGATTGCAGAGCGATGAAGCAATTGCGGTCCTAAGCATCATTATAGACCTCAACAGTGCAGAGGGTCAGTAGGTCCAGAAGTCTTGGGCCCCAGATGTCTTGGGAACCTAAGGAATGCCAGTCCTTCTTCCCCCAGGGTCCAGATTGCATCTTGCCCGCAGTCAGTCTTCTCACTTCAGTGGTTATATATATATATTGGCAGGTGGAAACAGCCTGGCAGCATGAGACCTGGAATCATCTCATGTTCAAAGCTTTCCCCAGAGTCTCGACCTTGATGTCATACCCTTTTCAGTCTCAGGATTAATGATGATAATCTCTTCACCCGGCTCCCATGAGGCTTGCTGGGTTTTGGGTTGTAGCAGGGGCAGGTGGTTTGGATGTGATACTGGGGTTGGCATACTTCGCCTGTTAGGGTCTCCTTTCTCTGCCAGGGCAGAAACCTAGGTACTGTGGGCTGTTTTTAGGGCAGCCTCTAGAGCAGTGGTTCTCAACCTTCCTAATGCCGCAACCCTTTAATACAGTTCCTCATGTTGTGGTGACCCCCAGCCATAAAATCATTTTTTCGTTGCTACTTCTTAACTGTAATTTTGCTACTGTTATGAATCGTAATGTAAATATCTGATATGCAGGATGTATTTTCATTGTTACAAATTGAACATAATTAAAGCACAGTGATTAATCACAAAAACAATATGTAATTATATGTGTTTTCTGTTGGTCTTAGGCGACCCCTGTGAAAGGGTCGTTCGACCCCCAAAGGGGTCGTGACCCACAGGTTGAGAACCACTGCTCTAGAGTAAGAACCTCTGTGTTTGAATCTGGGATTTAATACTTCCTGGCCATGTGCACTTGAACAAGTTGCTTACCCCCTTTGTAAAATTAGGATACTAATAGCATGCCCCCCCCCCCCCCCCCCCAGTGATGCGAGAATTAGATGAGTAAATATAGGAAAGCACTTAGAAGAGTGTTGGGCACGTAGCTAGGTGTATTATTTTTACTGGCGGTTCTATTTGCATGTTGTGTTTATTCTTGAAACATCTAAATTGAATTGTGGTCTAAATGCTGTGATGGGAGCTCTCTGTTTAAAAGAACCCTGTGAAGAATTATATTTTCAGTCAAGAATATTTTCTCCTCTTATTTGACAGTATTGTAACCCAGGTTTTGGGGTGTGGATGCGCATTCTAAAGAGAGGTGCACTTGATTCACCAGGGCACAGAGAGCTGGTACATGTGTGGGGAGGAGCTGATACCTGTGGGAGCCTCTGACCCTGCACAATGAAGGCCCAGTGTCAGTCCCGGCTCTGCTTTATTCTCCAAAGGAGTCTCCTATCTGCCTTCCTGACTCTTTGCAAGTTTTCTGCCCTGAAGGCTTCTGATTAGCCAAGAAACAGTAATCCCAGGTTTCTAGCCCTCTGGGCTCTTCATTCCTGGTTTCGGCTCTGATCCTCTTCTCGAAGCTCCACCCTCTGCCCCACTGAAGCATTTGGGTTATCCTAAAGCCCCTGTCCTTCATTTGCCTCATCTCTTCTCCCTTCCGGTTGGACTATGAAACCCTTACGGTCAAAGGAGAAATACAGTCATGAGAATATGTGTTAATTCATTTCCTTTTTCTCTGTTATTTGCCTGCATCTTGGAACGGGCTCCCCTGGCTGCTCATTGTTCATACCCAGCAGTTCCTTTATTAATAGCTCAGCCATTATCCCCTTGGTGCTAATTACACCTGTGCTGGCTGACTTGGACTCTATGAAGTGACTGAGCTGGGGATTGGAGGATTACTTTAGGGAACCAAAGCCTCCAAAGGAACCTTCCTGGGACGTCAGCTGCTCCAGGGGTGGGGTGATGGCTGAGGTGCCTTGAAGGTGCTCAGAGGACTGCTGTCAGGGCTCTGTGAAAGCAGTAGTGTGTGGGGGGAGGTCGACATGCTTTTCTTTCTTCGTTTCATCTATTCTTTACTATTTTGAGCAGGTCGGGAACAGACAAATTCCCATGTATACCTTTCCCTAATGACAAAAGCAGCACATGTTCATGAAATATTCAAACAGTACAGAAAGAAAGTGAAAAGTAAAAAATCTCCCACAATTTCTCCTGTCCCTGTTAAGTTTGCTTCTTTCTAACAACTCATTCTGGTGTGTCCTATTAAAGAAAAAAAGGTTCACGCTGTACACGTTTGGTTCTGCTGCCATTATTCCACCCCCCCCCCCCCCCCTTTAAGCTTGCTATGTTTTGGAAAATTTCTTCCCTGTCAAAAAAACCAGATTTACCTCATTCTGCACAGTATTGCATTGTATGGATATGTCAGTCTCCCCCTGATGGACATTTCTGTTTCCGGTTTTCCACTATCACAGACAATACTGCAGTGAGCATCCTTGCACAGATGCCGGAGACTATTTATTGTCTTCACTAGCTGAGCATAGAGGAGACCCCCAAAAGCTAGTAACCTTTGAAGCCCTAGCAAAGGTCAGGGCTGTGCACCACCCAGTTAATCTAGATAATGGTAGCTGAAGCATCATCCCCACCTTAGTTCACTTAATTCCTTAGATACTTATGTAAATCCTTGTTGATTATTGTTGATTAGATATTCTGCCTATTTCTGGAAATTGTCTGCTGATGAGCTAATCTGTGTGTCATTGAAATCTCCTTACCTAAGGGCTACTCCGGATCAATAAAAGGTTGGAGCGGCCTGAGCATCAGTGGAAGTCCTTCTGGACTTGCCCGCCTGGTCCCCCAATATTTCCAAATTATCTCGTGTCATTTCTCTCTCATTTGTGTGCGGCTCCTCTTTTCAGATCCCGAACCCTAATCCACGCAGGACGTAGAAGGAAACACACACGACACACACACACACCTTTGCATGTTTGTGCTAGCAACTTTTCTATAGAAATAATAGAAGAAAAGATAGATACATTTAAAATGTTGATCAGCATGACTGTCCTACAAAGTTCTGTATTGTAAACTGTTTTAATATTTCAAAGTAATTGATGGTACTTGGGCATTATTACCTACTAGAGGCCTGGTGCACGAAATCCATGCACTTGGAGGGGAGGTCCCTCAGCCCGGCCTGCGCCCTTTTGCAGTCTGGGAGCCCTCGGGGGATGTCCGACTGATGGCTTAGCGGGCCTAAGCTAGCTCCCCACAAGGAGCGGGCCTAAGCAAGTAGTCAGAGATCCTTAGTGCTGCCACGGAGGTGGGAGAGGTTCCCGCCACTGTGGCTGTGCTCGCCAGCCATGAGCTCCTGCATTGAGCGTCTGCCCCTGTTGGTCAGTGAGTGTCATAGCAATCCGTCTTTCTGCCGTTCGGTCAATTTGCATATTAGCCTTTTATTATATAGGCTTATATAGGATAGCTGCACTGATTAGCAAAACAACTTTCTTAGCAGTTTGGGTATTTCATGCCTATCAGTCAAATAGAAGGCGATAATTGTCAGTTTTATGACTTCTGATGAGTAAAAAGAAGATATTACTAATGAAACACACTTTAATGGGCAGCATATTTCAAAAATGTTGGCTCTACCTAGGACAGGTAGTGAAGAAGACCTTGATCATGAAAAGGCTGGGAACCATTGGCTTTCCGGACCACCCTTCAGGATCGGATTAGAAAGCTTAGTTGTGCTTACCACATGACTCCTTGCTCAGGTGCTGACAAGAGTGGAGGCTGGGACTGAATGGGTGGCCATGAAACCAGGAGTCTGGTCAGAGCCCTGACCTTGATTGACTCTCTACTGTGGGCCATGCTGTTTTTCTCTGAGCTTGAGTTTTTCTGTCTATAGGAGGGAAGTCACCAAGCCCTCATTTCCTCATTTCCATGTGTGTTCATGAAAGGAAAGTAAGTGAAAGATTGAGAGTGTGAGTTAAACCTCATGTAAAGAAAATAGAAGAGGCTTTCAGGATTGAAACAGCTTTCCATGATATGCCCGTGGGTGTGTTACATTGTCTCTGAAATTAATCAGCATGAAGTGTCTACTACTGAAAATTAAGGTGGTGGTGGGGGGGGTGTTTTTTAACAGGCAGGACAGTCTGTTCCTGGTTCTGCTAATGTGGCAGTTTGAGACAGGAAGTGTGGAAAATGAGAAGCCCTGGTTGCGGCAGATGTGTGTGGGTGGATTGTGGGCAGAGGCAGGTGGTGTGGTACTGGGGGCCACTGTGGGGAGACATTAGTGACCCTTGTTTTCTTTTGTTCCGAGCCCTCCGTCCAGTTTGGTTTACACAGAGCAGCTGGTTCCTTCCTTGGCTTCAGAGCAGCTCCCAAGCATCAGGTTATTGTCAGCATTAGGGAGGTAACAGGACCTTTGGGGAAGTGCCTAATGGGCTGGAAGGTGTGGACAAAGCAGGCCTGGAAGTGCAGGTAATGAGCCAGATCGCCGAGGATGGAGAAGAGCGAGGCGCTGAGCTGGAGAAAGTGAAGACTCAGGAGGATTTAAATACTGAAATCCTGGGGCAGCTGATCCCAGGGAGATAGATCTGCCTGTCAGGGGTCAGGGGTCAGGGATGAACATCAGCTGAGGATGCTGGGTTGAGTTCTCTTGCTTTCGTGCTGCAGATTTGATGAGAAATGAAAATCACTTCCGGTGCCCAGGGCCAGGAATTGGCTATGTGCCAAGCCCTCTGACCCTGAGCCTACCCTTCCCTCACCACTTGGGTCACTCCTTGGCTTCTGTGTACTTGTTGCCAAGCACCCCTAGGAAACTCTCTTCCTTCCGAGGTCTGTTCTCTACCCGGGCCCTTCTGCCCACTTCTCCACTGAGCTCTTTTGACATTCCTTTCCCCGAAGAAAAATGATGACGTTTCCAGCCAAGTACCCTGATTTTACAGAATTGTTTCTTAGCCCTATGGGGTCCCCTCATCCCAGGGTAGAGCAGTGGCAACGACTTGCAGGGCACCCTCTGGAAAGCAGTGCTGGGAAGTGAAGGCAGTTGGTTCTTTCCCTCTCCTGTCCCTGTGCCCTTAGAGGAGCCCACAGAGCCGAGCCTCCCAGATGACCTCCTTCGGGTCTTGGCCCTCGGGAAGTGGTTGGCAGCAGTGCGGGGCCCTCACCCACCACTCCTCTACCAGCAGGATGGGCAGAGAGGAGCCAGATCCTATGGGCAAGCTGATGAGAAATCACAGGCTCTTTTTAAGGAGAAAAGCCACCGAGGAAGCAGGAAATCCGGACTCTACTACCAGCTCTTCCCTGTCTTAGTGTGTGTCCATAGGCAAGTCACCTGGCTGACTCTGAACATCTAGTTTGCCCCACCTGTCCAGTGAGTATGTAAATGAGTATTCCTGAAATAAGTTTCCTGAGGAAGCCCGAACCAATGACTGTTCCTGCTTCTAAATTGTCTTGCTTTCTTGTGGGCCATTGAGGCAGACTGGCCATGATGCCCTTGTGGGCTAAGCTTTATTGAAGTTTCCTGAGGTCTAGTCAGAACCTGGTCAAGTAGGCTTTTCCGCAGTCTAATCTCACTGGCGGTTTAGACATTCTGGCTTAAGCTCATGTCCCGAGTGCAAGGCCAAAACAACTTGAAGCCCGGCTCTTTTTGTGGTGGGCAAGCTAATTCTTGCCCATGGCTCTGAAGGGATAGATGAGATATCAGCCTAGACACTCTGTTGGACCTATTCCAGGAGGCTGCTCAGTTCTAAATGGGTAGGATCTCCAGACATAAGACCCTCCTTCGAAGCTATATCATTCTTGCGTTGAGCAGGGTGCCATCTTACTGTCTTTCTATCTCTTTCCACCTCGGGTACCTCTGTGAGACCTTGGACGTGGGGAAAACATGTCTTCATGTTTTGGGGACTTTCTGAAAACCTACATGACTCTTCTACTCTTTCAGGAGGGTTTGCCTGATAAGTCTTCAGTTTGCCTTCCCAGTCTTCCTGGACCCTTGTCTCACTGAGGTGTTTGAGGATTAAACAAGATTCTAGCTATGAAGTCGCTAGCCCTGTGCACGCACCTGACTCGGCCCCTAGTCATTTAGCTCTGGTCTGTCTCCTTTCTCTCTAGCGTGGGCATCCTACATGACCAATTCCCCGACGCTCATTGTTATGATTGGCTTGCCAGCCCGGGGCAAGACCTATGTGTCCAAGAAACTCACACGTTACCTCAACTGGATTGGAGTGCCCACCAAAGGTAGGTGCGGGTCGTTCATTCTTTGGGAAGGGAAACGATCCGTTCCTCCATCTCACAGGCCTCTGCGGGATTCATTCTTCCCGGCATCAAGGTTACAGGGTGCTTCTGGCAGAAGCAGTTGTTGCTTCTGGATTTGCTGAATTTATTCTTGCTCACAGACTTACTTCCTCCAGAATATATGATTCTATCCTCAATGCCTTTGACCATATACACTTTACATTTTTTTAAAAAATATTTCTTTATTGATTTCAGAGAGTAAGGGAGAGGAAGAGAGAGATAGAAACATCAGTGATGATAGAGAATCCTTGATCAGCTGCCTCCTGCATGCCCCACACTGGAGATCAAGCCTGCAACCTGGGCATGTGCCCTTGACCATACTCGAACCTGGGATCCTTCAGTCCACAGGCAGATGCTCCATCCACCAAGCCAAACTGGTTAGGGCTACACTTTACATTTTTAAAGCCCTGACCTATATATCATCTTGTTTAATCCTAGCAGTACCCCAGTGACATAGCAGAAGCTGCTGAGGAAATTGAAACTTAAGACTTGCCCAAGGTCTAATAAGTCTGAACTCCAGCATAATTTGATTCTTAACCTGGTATTGTTCCCTACATGCCTTGGTGCTTTTTTATTTTATTTTATTTTTTTTATCCCCTTTGGCCACTCTGACATTAGACTAGGATGTCCCCTTTGGTGGGGCCACTGTATTGTCTCAGTGCTTAAGGGTGTTGGTGTCTTCTGCAGTGTTTAATCTTGGGGTATATCGGCGTGAAGCAGTCAAGTCCTATAAGTCCTATGACTTCTTCCGGCACGACAACGAGGAGGCCATGAAGATTCGCAAGTGAGTCTTCTGATGCCTGACCTCTGGGCCAGCTCTTTCTCGGCCATCCTAAGAGTGGATGTAATGGGGCTTCGTTTCCTCAGCCTTTATGTCTGAGGCCCTGGGGATGTGGTAAGAGTAATGGGGCTTCGTTTCCTTTTCAGTAAATATTTTGTGGGGATTTGAAGTGTAAGGTATCTTCTGGACAGGTCACTTTGGGCTTGGATGGGTGGAAGAACGGGGCTTAGGGAGATGTATGTATGCTTGCAGATTAAGCCTACAGAGGGATAAGATATATGCATGGGCTGGGGGAAAGGGACAGATGTAGGCTGATACAAACATCTCAGTGGGGAGTTGGAAGGTCTAGTTAGGGAAGTGTTTGACCAGTGAGAAAACTTAAGCAGGAAGGGACGTGACTTCGATAGCAACCCAGCTGCTCCGGTCTCTGGCTATGCCTGAGCCTGGTCTCGCTGCACTCGCCCTGCTGACCTCCTCTGCTCTCACGGCAGACAATGTGCTGTGGTGGCACTAGAAGACGTTAAGGCGTATCTCACCGAGGAGAGCGGGCAGATTGCGGTAAGCCTTGCCTACCTCTTCCCCGCCTTGGTCTCTACCCTTTCAAAGCTGTGTACCCCTCCTCCTGCCCCCTTGGGTCCACCTTGGAGGGATTCCATTTTTCGCTCCCCACTCATTGACCTTGTGGGCGCTCTTCCCAGGTGTTTGATGCCACCAATACAACTAGGGAGAGGAGGGACATGATTTTGAACTTTGCCGAGGAGAATTCCTTCAAGGTAGGATCTGACTCCACGTCGGAGGAAAGGGGAGGAGTGGAAGTGGGCAGTTGGAAGGAACATGCAGATCGGTTTGGCTCTGGTGAGTGAGGCCAAGACTGGGTGTATGATTCTATTCTCTTGGGGCAGGCCCACAGTCCTTGAGTGTTTTCTCGCAGGTACTTTCTCAGCCCCTCAGCCTTTATGTCTGAGGCCCTGGGGATGTGGTAAGAGTTATTTTTAAATGAACAGGCCTTGCAGGCACTGTCATGAAAGAAAATCCTGGGGGATGTGGTGGCTGGGTGAGGTAGGTATGAGCATGTGCTCTTAATGAACAGCCTGGCCAATTTTGACTCATTCATCACTGCCCTCTCTTTCTGGCCAGGTGTTCTTTGTGGAATCTGTGTGTGATGATCCTGATGTCATCGCTGCCAACATCCTGGTGGGTGACACCCCTGTATACCACCACCTCTTTTCCCTTTGTGCCTGGTGTGTATGTGGAGGGGGGCGGGGGGCGGTAGGAGGGGAGAGTCTACTGGGGAATGAAAGAAAGAAATAGACCTGTTTAACATCACTGACGGATCTGTTTGATCTGCCAGAGCACCGTTTTGTACTTCCACACTCTTGGGAGAGGAAACAGGCTTTGAGGAAGAAAATAAGAGTTAGCTGTTGAATGGAGACCAAGACTTAGACTGGAGGATTCCTGGCCCCGTGTTCTGGGTGTTAGCTGGATGCAAAGGCCTAGATGTCTTCTTAGAATAGACCAAACTCTCAGGGTCTGTCAGGGCCACTTTCTAGGAAGGTCATCCGCCCAGCATTTGTCTAATGGTCAGAGTATAAACCAGTGCCCATTTGATGGGTTGTGCTGTGCCAAGTAGACATCCACGCATGGTATCAAGATGGGGCTCTCCCAGCAACGTGGGCACTTGGGATCATCTAAGGAAGAGGCGTCTGGTCCAAGTCAGGCATGCGTCCAATCACGCATCTTATTCTAAATGGTCGTGGGGAGAAATGGAAGCACATTCTGCCTTCCCAAGGAGGTACATGAAGGGATCGGGGCTCAGGAGCAGCTTCCGCTGCACGACTGCCGGCTGTCCTTCAGCCAAGGGCAAGCACATGACTCCCCAGTTGTCTTGCCCTTCTGTGTTGCCAGGATCATAGGACAGAGTGGGGGTGGTGCTCAGTGAGTGGGGATTGCCAGCGCTGCAGTGAAAGGCCACTGCTGTGGGCTTCCTTTTCTTTATTTAGCAGTGGCTGTTTGCAGCAGGGCCAATGAGGGCAGACCTCTGACCAGGTCCTGCTCTTCTGTGATTCCAGGAAGTAAAGGTGTCCAGCCCTGATTACCCTGAAAGGAACAGGGAGAATGTGATGGAGGACTTCCTAAAGAGAATTGAGTGCTACAAAGTCACCTATCAGCCCCTTGACCCAGACAACTATGACAAGTAAGGTTTGAGGCCACGGTTTAAAGAGCGTGAATACGGATCTCATTGGAGAAAAGAGCCTTTCTCTCTCTCTGTTCCCAAACTTCCTTCTGCCATTCCAGACCCTTGTATCTCTTCAGAGAAACAAGGAATGGATTTGTGGCTTCTATGTGGGTTGCATCTTACCCTTGAATACTGAAGTGTTTTGTTTTGTTTTTACGATCATCAGTTCTTCCTCTCTCTCCTCTAGAGCAGGGGCGGGGAACCTTTTTCCTGCCAAGGGCCATTTGGGTATTTATAACATAATTCTCGGGCCATATAAAATTATCAACTTAAAAATTAGTCTGCTATATTTGGTCAAACATTGAATTAACTCACCTCTAATTCTTTGGCAGGGCCAGACCAAATGATTTTGTGGGCCTTGTACAGCCTGCGGGCCAAACCGTCCCCACCCCTGCTCTAGAGCAAGATTTCTCAGCCTCCACATTGTTGACATTTTGAACTAGATAATTCTGTGTAGTTGTCTTGTGCATTGTAGGATATATAGCAGCATCCCTGCCCTCTGTTCACTAAATACCAGTAATAACTTCCAACCTGTGACAAGCTAAAATGTTTCCTGACATTGCCTGGGGAATAAAATCACCCTTGGTTGAGAAGCACTGCTCTAGATCAGTAGTTTTGAACGAGGGTAATGTAGGGTACCCCTTAGAGATGTGTCATCAGCTTTTGATCAATTTTAAAAGTGTATGTGTGTGTACATATATGTTAAATAATATATATTAATACATATACATACATATATTACATATATAACAACACATATACAGTATAAAACAACGTGTATGTTATATGCATGTGTATATGCATGTAATGTATATGTAATATGTATCTTGTTACATATAACAGATAACATTTAGGTATATAAATTAAACATGAAGTTCTCAGGAACATGCCTGTCTTAGTGAAATGTCTGATCATGGCTAGCTGTCGTTACTATGGCAGCATCTATCAGCACAGTGGTGTACAATACACATTAACTTGATGTGTGTGAGGTATAGGAGCCATAGCAAAAGGTCAAGTTCATGTTGAAGAAAGATGTGTGCACATGGAAACTCGTGAGGACTCGGAGTGGTAAATACAATAGAATATACAGATGATGTATTGTAGAATTGTAAACCTGAAACCTATATCATTTTATTAACCAGTGTCACCCCAGTAAATTAAAAAAAAAAAGAAAGAAACCTGTGAGAATGTGGCCTTTGAAAAGGCACGCAGTCAGCAGTTTCCAGTTCTAGCCCAATAAGAATACAGCCCTGCAGCCAAGCAAATGAGACAAGTGTGCATAACCACTGTTGAATCATTTCACTGGTCTGCTTTGGAGTCTTTCAGTTCCTCAAGGGGTTGCCCAGAATGTTAGTATTTGCAGGTGTTCTTTATATGAAGTTGCAAACCACCGCCTTCGATATGGCTTAATAGTATATTCTTCAGTTACCCCCAAAGTCCAACATAGAACACATTCTGGAAGTGTGTGTGTGTGTGTGTGTGTGTGTGTGTGTGTGTGTTTATAGATCTTATCTCTGGTGGTAGGCTTATGGTACATTGATTTTTATTTGCATCAATGTACCTTTAAAAAATTTTTTTTGGAATAAGCATTATTTTTATAATGAGGTAATTCCATGATGGCCACAAAGCGAACTGTCCACGGAAGTGCCTTTGAGAGAGGATTGATGTAGGTAGATGCTGGGAATGCACAGAGGTTTCTCTGATTCTGCTTCTCCTGCCTCCCCCTCACCGCTGGTGATGCTGTACTCTGGCCAGGTCTCGACCCCTCAGATGGGGGCCTGTGCTTCTCACCCAAATTCAAGGTTAGCAAAACCTTTAGGTCATCTAGTGTAGCCCCTCACGGGAGCCTGAGTTCTGTCGATCACACTTATTTCATGGCATAGGGTAGGCACTGAGGGACTGACCAGGAGTTGGGGAGATTTGTACTTCGTCTCCGTTCTGGGGAGTAATCCAGCTCTTACCATTCAGCCGGGCGGGGCTCTGACAGGGCGGGAGGAGAGCTGCTGTGAGTCTGTGAGTAACTCTGACATCCTTTCCCCTGCTACCGTTAGCCTCAGATTTTTATACTCAGGGGATGTTTTTCCCCTTCTGTCCCAGGGATCTTTCTTTCATCAAGGTGATCAACGTGGGCCAGCGGTTTCTAGTGAACAGAGTCCAGGACTACATCCAGAGCAAGATAGTCTACTACCTCATGAATATCCACGTCTATCCCCGCACCATTTACCTTTGCCGGCACGGGGAGAGCGAGTTCAACCTCCTGGGGAAGATTGGGGGCGACTCTGGCCTCTCGGTGCGGGGCAAACAGGTAAGCCGTTCGCCCGCAGGCTGGGTTTCCCAGGCTTAGAATTAGAGGGCGTAGTGGAGGTCACCTCTGTTATGCCCTTACTTCTTCCTAAACCCCACTGAGGCTTAGGTTTCAGACGGTCAAGCAAGGGCTAAAGGTTTTCCTTGTTCATTGATTCTAGCTCCGTACTGAAGGGTGGATAGCTTGGAACCATTCCTGCTGTGGTCCTTCAGCCATCGGTTATCGGGCACAACCTGTGTGCTTAGCAGAGAACAGGGCACCTCAGCGGAAGCTCTTTTCCTCTTGGGTTTATCGCACGGAGCGCCTTTCCGATTTTGACTGCGGTCATGAAGGGTGCCCTCCTCGGCCGATTCAGCAGGTGTATGTGTGTGTCCGTGTTTCCTCTCTTTAAACTTTTATTTCAAACCCCAGTTTGCCCAAGCTCTCAAGAAGTTTCTGGAGGAACAGGAGATAGCAGATCTCAAGGTGTGGACGAGCCAGTTGAAGAGGACTATCCAGACTGCGGAGTCGCTGGGGGTGACCTATGAGCAGTGGAAGATTCTGAATGAGATTGATGCTGTGAGTGGGAAGCACTGATGGCCCGGGTAGCCTCTTATTCAGGCAGGAGCTCTCAGAAGCCACCATCGGGGCAGTTTTACCTGACATCTAGAAGAGTGATGGCGAACCTTTTGAGCTCAGCGTGTCAGCATTTTGAAAAACCCTAACTTAACTCTAGTGCCGTGTCACATATAGAAATTTTTTGATATCTGCAACCCTAGTAAAACAAAGATTTATATTTTTGATATTTATTTTATATATTAAAATGCCATTTAACAAAAAAAAATCAACCAAAAGAATGAGTTCGGGTGTCATAGGTTCGCCATCACTGGTCTAGAACCACCAAGTAGAGACATTGCAGAAGCTAACACTGTGGCTGGTGTGGGGAGGAAGTAGGAACAGTTCTACCCCTAATTAGGGCTTCCTGCCTGCTTGAACACCTGTGCCAGGAATGGCACTCCAACCAATTTGGGGGCACCTGGGAGTTCCATTTGGTACCTCGGTGTATTTTCTTCCTGGGAAAAAGAAATAGCTAACAGCTCTTTTCTTTAATTTCCACTTAGATCATTTGGCCAGCTATTCTAAAAAAAGTCCTTTCCATTTGTTTCCTTGGCTTTCTCTGTCCTTGAGCACAAAAGTAGGCATTCCTTTTCCTTTGCTTCCTCTGCACCCTTTTATGCCTTCTGCACGAATTCTGCAGTCCCTTCCGCTGCCTCTCCTTCCCTGCTTCCTGTTCCTTTTATCCCGCTGACTCTTCTTGACCTTGAAATTCCCCACAGTAGTAGGAGAAAGTGGCAGCTTACGCTAGAGAAGCCGCCTCCTCTCCGCAGTGGCCCTCACCCCGCCCGTCCCAGACACCCTGGCCAGGCAGTTGCAGGACGTGCAAGGACCCGGCACAGTGCCTGGCGCGTAGTAAGAAACTAGTGTTCCTCAGTGTCGTCTGCCTTCGTTGGGTGGGGCTGTGTGGGCCAGTCTACCTCCGCAAGCCAGTGTGGCTCCTTGCAGGGCGTGTGCGAGGAGATGACCTACGCAGAGATTGAGAAGCAGTACCCAGAGGAGTTCGCACTTCGGGATCAAGAGAAATATCTGTATCGCTATCCTAGTGGGGAGGTGAGATTCCCATATGTGGCGCCACTGCCCCGCCCTGTGCTGGGAGTTTAGTGTTAATTTGGGGGAAGGATTGAATGGATTTGGGGGGATCTAGAAAGGGTACTTGAGGCAGAACTTAGTTTATCCTCCTAACTTTGGGTCCTACTGTCTTTAATTCAGCTTAGGCAGTCAAATGCCTCATTCATTTGTTAAGATCTCTAGGGGAAAGAGTGGCAAGACAAACTGTGTTGAGTATGTTGTAGAATCAACACCATCTTTTTCACTTTATTGTTTTCATTCCACTCACTACATCCCATGCCCAGATATGGGCACCAAGTAGATATATGGGCTGTGAATGAAATCCCTATCAGCTTCAGTGTTTGGGCTGTTTCCTGGTCTCAGTGGCTTCACAGTCTAGGGATGTGTGAGATGAAGGAAGTCAACAGTATGACCGAGGTCCAGGGGGCCTCCAGGAGCCCCTTGTTGCCTTACGCTCTGCCCGTTAATCTGGGGAAGAAAAAACCCCACGTGCTGAATGCAGATTTTCTCTTCTTGACCTGGAGTTTCCTCTGTCTGAATGTTGCCCTTGAAAGGTCTCAATATTCTTAGGAGCTTCCAAAGCTGGGGAGTTAGCAGGCGACATGCAGTCGCTGAAGCTCTAGGAGGGAAGCCAGCTGGGGAGGAAGGAGCAGTGGCCTCTTTACTCTGGACACAGCCTCTGCCTTGGCTGCCAGCTTGCGCCCGGCCTCCTAGCAGCCTGCCCACTTCCCCCCACAGTCGTACCAGGACCTGGTGCAGCGGCTGGAGCCTGTCATCATGGAGCTGGAGCGCCAGGGCAATGTCCTCGTCATCTCCCACCAGGCTGTCATGCGCTGCCTCCTGGCCTACTTCTTGGATAAGGGCGCAGGTGCCATTGAGGGAAGGGCTGGGAGGGGACTGGGCTCGGGGTGGCGCCAGGATCCCTGGCAACTGGGCCTCCCCCTCTTTCACTCAAATGGGAGTGCATTCTTCAGGCACCAGTGTGGGGCGCCCAGCAGCCACCGAGCCAGCTACTGGCCGAATTGATTGCTGGTCCAAAAGCCCCCGGTGGAGGGGCTGCTGCTGGGCTGCTCAGTCCTGCTTGGCTAGAGGGCAGCCTCGAGCTAACCCTTCTGGCAGCCTCAGAAAAGTGGTTGGACACTGCCAGCTTGTTACTTTGGCTACAAGGAGGGTGGTACCTTAGAAGCATCTTCATCCTCAGATTTAGGACAGTTTCTGGGTGGAGCTGGAAGGAAGTGCTGGCACCTCCCTTCCGGACCTACCTTCTGGCCCTTTAACCTGGAGGTGGGCCACGCTCTCTCCTTCCATGGGGTCCTGGCTGCAGCACTTAACTCCTGTTTTGTCTGCATGGAGGGATCGAAAATGGGCTTACATCCTTCCTTAGCCACGCAGTTGCTTGGGTGGCTTCTTGGGTGGCTGTTTTGGTAACTGTCTGGGGTTCAGGGGAGGAGCTGTATAACTCTAGGTCAAGGTGAAGGGAGGAGCTGTATCACTCCAGGTCAAGGTAAAGAAAACTCATGAGCTCCTTAGTCTCTTTCTGCCACTAGCTTGACCCCACTCCATACGAAGCGTCTTCCTCACCTGGTCTTTCTGCTTTCAGATGAGCTACCGTACTTGAGGTGCCCGCTCCATACCATCTTCAAACTTACTCCTGTGGCCTACGGTAAATATGCATTTAGGAGCTGGGCAGAAGGTGGGGATTGAGGAAGGTCAGGATTTCTCTGAAGCTTGTGTAGAAGTTCAACTTCATCGCCCCTGTATACCAGGAAAGCCCTGTTGTTAAATGTATGTATGTACGGGGGACATAGGCATTCTTTTCTGGTGTGCTTTCCCGTGCTGAAACAGAGGGATCTTTCTCGGAGCTTTGCGCCCCAAAGGCCTCTTTCCTCTCCTCTGTGTTCCCAGGGTGCAAAGTGGAAACGATCAAGGTCAACGTGGAGGCTGTGAACACTCACCGAGACAAGCCAGCGGTAAGCATTTCCCCCAGACGCGCGTGCAGGTTCCCTGCCACCTTGAGAACTGGAACCTTTGACATCAAGACACTGGGGTTGCTTTTATGTACAAAAGGAAAACAGATCCAGGACTCACGGCCTAGGTAGTCTGCTCACTTCCAAGAGGCAGAGATGTTGGAATTAACTATTTTTAGAGATTAGTACCTCTCTCGTGAGTCTTGACCTTGGGACCTCCTGGAAATCCAGTTAAAAATGCAAAGCGTTTGGCTGAAGGGAAGTGCAATGCCCTCCTCCCTCCCCGCTCCCCCACGCCCCCCCTCTTTAGGAAGCAGGATCCAGCAGACCCTCACCTGTAAGGTGGGGTGAAGAGGTGCAGTTTTGTTCCCAGGTCTGTCCTGGTAGTCCGTCTGCTCTTAAGTGAGCCCCTTCCTTTCTGGGTCCCTCTTTCCTGCTTTGGAGTTCGATGCTCAAGGAGCGTCTCCCTCTACAACCCTTTATCTTCCTGGGGCTAGGGGGCCAGGCCACAGCCAGGGCTCAGGAGGCTGCCTCAGGAGCAGGATGAGTGTTGTGGTTATGAGCATTATGTAACCTTCACGGGTGAGCTTTTGTCTTGGCTTTCATTTGTGTGGTGTCCCTCCGTTTCTAATCAGAACAACTTTCCCAAGAGCCAAACCCCTGTAAGGATGAGAAGGAACAGCTTTACACCTCTGTCCAGTTCGAATACAATCAGGCGTCCGAGAAATTACAGTGTTGGGAGCCGGCCCCTCAAGCCCCTCAGCCCTCTCCGTGCCCTGGACATGCAAGAAGGGGCCGACCAGCCGAAGACCCAAGTCAGCATTCCGGTGGTGTAACTGTGTGTTTCCCTCCAGTCCTGGCCTCCTGCTCTTGCCACTAATCACCAAGGAGTCATTTAACTTCCAAGCCCCACCCCCGACCGTGAACGTGAGGCCGTGTGTCGCAGACCAACCTTAGCTGTCCTGCAGTGTGAACCCTCTCCCCATCCAGGGGCAAGTTGCCGAGTTGGGTGCTTCAGAACACGTCCTCACTGGGTGGTCTGGAGGAGGAGGAAAAGGGGTGCTCCCCCCTGGGCTGATAAGCTTACCTGGGACTGAGGCTAAGCAGGGCCAGTACGTTGGTTCTCGTCAGTCTCTGGTGTCTAAAGTGACTGATGTTAGTAAGTTGGGGGTGGGGTGGAGGGGGACACAGAAGCCCATTTTCCCCTTTGCCTTTGTCTCTTCAAAGTGTGCTTTACTCACCGTGCTTACCTGCCTGCTTTCTCCCCCTCCCTCATCTCCCCATTGGATTGTCTAGTGTGATGCATGTCATTGTCACTGTAGTGTCTGACCTGGGGGGGACGGGAAGGTCAGCAAGAGAAATTCTCTCTGTTGGGGGCCCTGATGGACGTGGACCTGGGGAGCCTTTTTCTCCTGCTCCCTTTCTCTCAAGCCGGGTCTTGCAAGTGTCCGCCTAGGCCAGCGGTTCTCAACCTGTGGGTCACGACCCCTTTGGGGGTCGAACGACCCTTTCACAGGGGTCGCCTAAGACCATCGGAAAACACATATATAATTACATATTGTTTTTGTGATGAATCACTATGCTTTCATTATGTTCAATTTGTAACAATGAAATTGGGGGTCACCACAACATGAGGAACTGTATGAAAGGGTCTCGGCATTAGGAAGGTTGAGAACCACTGGCCTAGGCTCTAGAACATCCACAGATGCTCTGGAGCCAGTAAGGGGATGTCGGGGGAGAGTTCTTGCCTCCTTTCATGAGAAATAGTCCCAAGGCTTTGCTGCCCTGGGGAGAGCTGCCTCTGAGAAAGGGGGAAGTAGCTTGGTTTGCATTTTTCAGGAGCCAGGCATAGGTCTTGTGGCAGCTGTGGGGTGAGGTTTAGGAGAGGAGGGCGGTCCCCTGCTGCTGCAGGGCTGTCGCAGGCCCGGTCATCTGTGTTCTCCAGTGGCTCCCAGCCTCTTTGCCAGCCACTGCCAGCCAGTGACCTCTGGGACTGTTTAGAAGGACAGTAACCACTGACTCAGGAGTCACCACTGATGTTTGAATTGCTCAAGTCAAAAGGCAGACAAGAGTTCATCCAGCTGCTTATTATTTTCGAAGCACTCCCTTTTAAGTTGAAACATCTCGAGCGAACTTCAGGACCCTGCAGGGTCTAGCTCTTCGCTGCTTATATTTATTTCCCTATTCCGTTCTGTCACTTTATTTTTTCTGTAGGGTTACACAGAAAAGGTTTACAGCAGGGATTCTTAGCCCCTTGGTGAATGATGGTATGCTTCTCCCCCCGAATTTGTATGTAAAACATGAATACATGGGCATTTTTTCCAAGAAGCAAGTCTAGAGTTCTCAAGAGATTTTTAAAAGAGAGAGACAACTCCCCATCTTAAAGTTATCAGTTTGTCCTTTGGAAGTAACCGGCGAGAACATAGTAGCTGTTGGCCACGGGGGTTTGGGTGACCGAAGGCCTTTCGTCAAGGCTCTTATCCAGGAATCGTCATGAGAACCCCCGTTAGCAATTTGGAAATGTACACATGCCCGGGTCTGCTTTCGGCTCAGTGTTCACTCAGAATCTCTAGGGTTGGGGTCTGCACGTGCCTGTGGTTAAACAGCTTCCCTGTGGGTTCTGGTGCATTCTCCAGGTTGGAGCTCCGTTCTGTGAAGTTGGGTAAAGGAATCCTGGGACAGAGTTCCTTAGACAACGCAGTAACCTAGGGATTCTGCATCTCTCATGGAGCGAGATGTTGAGCAGGCCACAGTACTAAGTGAAGTGATGCCCCCCAAAGCAGGCTGCTGTGTTTTAGAGTTATTCTAGGACTAGGTCCTACTCCCACCTCTAACCACTTACATTGCAGGAACAAATCACTATGTAAATAAGCGTCCTTGGCTATTAGCTAGGAATTTTAAGCACCTGGAGATAGGCACTGAGATAAAACCTGTAGGTGGAGAAAGATTATCATCAGAGTCCTTTATTCTTCTGTCTTGAATAGGACATCACAGGCTGCTTGCCTGCATTCTGCTTGGAATTACCTGCTCTTCCTGCTTAGCCATTTGCATAATGTGTACTTAGCTCTCAATTTGTGGGGCTTTGGGCTGGGTGGAATGGGGGGTGGAGGAATACATAGAAGTAGAAGAAAAGGTGCTTGCCTTGAAGAAGGTTATATTAGAGACGGGGCATATAATTTATAATAAATGAGCATTTGTGAAACAGCAACCCTGAGTCTGTAGGTGTGGACACTAAAGTGGAGTGCAGATTACTTCTGACCTTTCTCTTGTCCTTGACCATGAGACTGACCAAGGTGGGAGGTGGGAATGCCCCTTCCCCACCTCCCTGCCCCATTGGGAGAATGAGGTGTGGTCTCTGAGGTATGTGTGGCACTTTTAGGAGGTTGTCTCCTCTACTTTGCTTGACTGGTGGTATCTTTAGCCCAAATGAACATTCACTCCACCTTTTCTCCCGCTGTGCTGTGAGAGTAATTCAGAGCTAATGAATGTGAATGTGAAGGAGCATTTTGCTCCAGACTTGGGATTTGGGCTGTACATACTCCTAGTGAGAGGAGTGTCTAACAACTAGCATTACGTTAGCTTGTTAGGAGCCCCAGCATTAGCCACAGGTCACGGAGATGTTCATGGGCATGACTTCCCTGTACTACCCCCTGTGCTAGTTTGCTTCCCCAGAAGAGGATGCCGATGTGGTCTTAGTCTTCTCAGATAGGACCCAAGAAATTAGAACTTGACCACAGCAAGGGCTTCAGCATTCTTCCGTTTTTAGAGCAAGATTTCTCCAGAGAAGGTTCAGCAGGAAGAAGCCAGGAGAACACAGGATGAACTAGAGCTACAAATTTTATTTTATTTCATTTTTTAAAAATATATATATTTTTATTTATTTCAGAGAATAAAGGAGAGGGACAGAGAGAGAAACATCAATAATGAGAATCATTGATTGGCTGCTTCCTGCACGCCCCCCACTGGGGATCGAGCCCACAGTCCAGGCATGTGCCTTGACCAGGAATCAACCATGATCTCCTGGTTCATAGGTCGACACTTAACCACTGAGCCTTGCCAGCTGGGTGAGCTACAAATTTCATAGAAGTCCTACTTCCTATCTTTTTTTTTCTTGTCCTCCTCTCGTTACTTGATTGTGTATTGGTAGTATATCCACATTACTATGATTATGTCTGTATTACAAATTCTATGAAGGGCGGACTTGAGCATTTTTTGCTGAGCCTTTCAGTTTTGTTATAGGAGTAATAGGTGAAGGATTTAGCATCTATTGGTAGAAAATTGGGAAAGCACTATATTCAATTTTTCTACCCCCCCCCCCCATTTTTCGGTTGCAGTTGCCATTGAGTTCTATTTTTTATTTATTTATTATTGCTTTAAAGCTGAAGGAGGAATTCTGTGACAGACTTTAATCCTCAGATTTGAATTTAGCTGTTACTTATCTGTATTGTCTTGATTTTGTTTTGGTAAGGGGATTGTTTTACATTCAATTGGAAAGCAGAATAGGAAAATATTCTAAAACTCTTAAAATGTTGTGCTAGGTGGTCTTATCATTATCTCTAGTTTTTGTTTTTATTTTGTTTTCTTTTCCCCCAAGAAGTTAAGAGTTAGGGATACGATGCTTGTTTTCCTAGGCTGAACAGTTGAGTGTTTCCTATGAGACTCTTGCTGTTCCTTTTTGGAACCTACTTGGTCTTCAGAGGTACTGGCGTTTTGAAGAAACATGAAATAGCTGTTTGGAATAAATCCATCTTAAACGGTATTTCTATGAGCAGGAGTTCCGAGTTCCAGAGAAACTATGGGTGCTTGGAGTAGTGAAAGGACAAGGGCGGGCGGTGTCTAAAAATTGAGAGAACTATATCTTACGCACAGTTCATTGTCTTTTGCTAAGCTCAGAAGCCAGGTTGTGTTTGTTTTCAAGAAATCTGATAAATTTACCCAGGTGTTCCAGTGTACATTTTGACATGTTTGTGTTTTAAAATATTTTAATTTAAAAAGTTACATAACAATTGAGTCAGGTTTAGCAGGATTGATCTCTTACTTCCTATAGAGGTGACATAGACACCAGAAGTATGTCCAGGAATTTAATTGAGATTCATAGTGTCCAGAACACTGTATGTAGCAGTAGCTATGTCCTGACTCACTGACAGACTCTGAAAGGATTTGTATACTGACCTACAGACACTAGTAGGGTCTGTGTGCTGACCTACAGACTCTAGTAGGGTCTGTGTGCTGACTGACAGACTCTAGTGGGGTCTGTGCTGACCGACTGACTCTAGTAGGGTCTGTATACTGACTGACAGACTTTAGTGGGGTCCGTATGCTGACTGACTGACTCTGGTAGGGTCTGTGTGCTGACTGACAGACTCTATTAGGGTCTGTATGCTGACTGACTGACAGACACTAGTAGGGTCTGTGACTGACAGACTCTAGTGGGGTCTGTGTGCTGACTGACAGACTTTAGTGGGGTCCGTATGCCGACTGACTGACTCTGGTAGGGTCTGTATGCTGACTGACTGACAGACACTAGTAGGGTCTGTGACTGACAGACTCTAGTAGGTCTGTATGCTGACTGACAGACTCTAGTAGGGTCTATGTGCTGACTGACTGTACTAGGATATGTAAGCTGACAGTCTGACTGTTTTGTTACTGTACCAGTTGGTCGTATATTATTGTAGTTCTCTGTCTATTGCATGTGTCCTACAAAGAAAGGAAGTAAACACTCCACATGTGTTCTTTAGGGGGAAGTTCTGTAAATTATGATTTTTTAATAGACATTGCTTTTAGAGTAGCAGCCAAAGTTTCATCATTTTTAGAAAATGAAGGTTGTGTATCACTTGTATGACATTTTGTAAACTCAGCTAAGGAAGTGTCTGCTCAAAGCCCGAAATGGTTATTCTACTTGAAGTCATTTCATTCATTCCCCAACTTCTAGGCAGATTTCACTTTTACCACCTGTGTCTGAACCTCCCGTGTCCACAGCTTCTCTGTTATAGAATGTAGCACTCCATTGGATAATGTGGTGATTTTAGTCTGCCATGCATATGGCACTTATTCATGACCTAATAAATAAAGATGCAAAGGTAATTTTGCATTCAAAATTGATTTTAAGAGGTGGCAAAGTATTCTTTTTAGTAAGCCTTTCATTGGGGATCTATGACCAATATTTACTATTCAATGTTTTTGTGTCTGAATTGCTTTTGTACATTTTTTTTTATTGTGTTGAAGTAACTAGATCAACTCATTCTGACACGGTGATGGTTTTGCTATGGCAAAAGCAAAGGACTGATCACCAACTGTGCCCGGGTTGGGAATGGGATGAGTACTACTGGGTTGAATAGGAATGGACTGAATTGGGAACCCAAGCAATAGAATTATCCTGCTGATTTCCTAGGCACAGCTCTGTTGAAAGAAGGAATGTAAATCCTTAACAGCATTCTGATTTAATCTGGTGACATTGATATCAAAATATGCCACTCAGATCCACAGAAGGTGTGTATAACTGTATTTGAAATGTGTTTTGTGTGTGTGTGCAGAATGGGTAAATAAAATTGTTGAGTAACTTGAACCTATCAGAAGGCTCCTGGGTTTTTTGTTTTGTATTTTGGGTTGTGTTTTCTACCCATGCCATCCCTTCTCCCCCACCGCCCCACCCCAAGCCTTGCCTCACACTACCCAGTGATTGAACCCCAGACCAGCCAAAGCCAGTTCCCAGTGACTGGAGTCCTTGGTGTAGGCATGGCTCTCTTCCACCACCTTCTGGGGAAGATGGGAAGGACATTATGGAAGGCATGTGAACTTCTGCAGGAGTTGTGTGTACTTTTTGAGAATGACCTCTACAAGAATTACCTGTTATCTTTGACTTCCATTAACAAACATGTGACTCACTATTTATTGTAAAGAAAAACCTTAAAGATCTCTTAGAATTTAGTGGGCTGTTCCTTCTAAAATATCGCCTGCCTGTTTCTAAAGAGGTGACAGCCAGTGGGATAAACCAGGGTTTAGCTTCTGGGACGGGAAAATACAGGTGAATTGTATTACCATTGCCATGCCTTACTCCAGTGGTTCTCAACCTTGGCTGCACATTAGAATCACCTGGGAATCTTTAAAATCCTGATTTCTGGGCCTCATCCTCTGGAAATTCTGTTTCCAAGGTTGAGAACCACTGCCTTACTCCTGTTACTCTAACAGACTGGGAGCTCATTAGACCTGCAGACTCTCGGGCCCCATCCCAGGTTTACCGAATCAGAATCTTCGTCTTAACAGGATTACCTAGTGATTCACATGCACACTTAACATTTGAGAAACACTGTTCTAAAGGGAAGAATTTCTCCCAAGTGAAAACGTTAAATCCCGGTTTATGGGAAGAGGTTGATTTCTGCTCTGAAGTCATCAGTGGATTTCAGAATGGGCTGGGATAACTACGATGGTAGAGACCCTGCTCAGAAGCCAAGTAGCCCCCGACTGCAATGTCACCCTCTTGGCATGCTCTTTTGGCTGGTGGAGCCTACAGACTCTCCTTTTACCACAGGGCTCCCTACAGCTTCTGCCTCATTTCTTGGGTATGTAGCTTATGGTCCAGGTGTCAAAGGACTGCCTGGTCCAACATGGCGCAAGGAGAGTCTGTTTTCCTGGGAAAGAGGCCCATGACTGTGCCACTGGAGTCTGCCTGACTCCCAGGAGTAGAAGGGTGTGTGCAAGCACACCAGTGTCTGTGCGCATGTCTGTGTGCAGAGGGGGTGTGGGAGAGGGGAAGCAGTGGAGGGATTCGGCTCTACTTTTCTTGACTTGCCAGTTCCGTGGTGGTGTAATTGCTTTGTTTCTCTTCCTCTCTGGCTCCTAGGCAAAGACCTCGCTGGCGGTGCCTAGACGCTCCTCTCCGGCCTCCCTCCCAGCGCTCTCCTGATACGGAAGCTGAGGCCAGACCTCCTTGGGGGATTGGGATCTGCTGGAAAACTTGGATGTCAGCACCACCAGGGCTTGATCGAGAAGTGAAGTGGGGATTGGACACCTGGCACCACCAAAATGGGGCCTGGAAAAGCATCACCACATTTCTCCCCCTCATGCCTAATGGGAATACCAGTTACGCTGAAAAACTTAACTTTCTTTGTGCCTCCAAATATTAACAGCCGGAACCGGTTCATTTTTTTAATTCTATGATCTCTTTGCCATGTTTGGCCCAAGTTGGCCAATCTCGCTCTGTTTCGGTATCTAGCACCCTACCTGTGACTGTCTCTAGCTGGCTATTTTTTGTCTAAGGTGCAAATACGCCTCTCAGATTTAATTGTCTCCAGGTGAGAGGGCTGAACCCCTGTAAGTCTTTTCTGTGCTGTACGAGCTGGTCTCCCATCCTTTCCAGGTGAGCAGGATTGGAGTACAATTTACATAGGTTAGCATTATTTCACATTGCAAACAGACAAATTCACCAGGTGAATGGAGGGTATGTGAGTCATGCGGTCCCTGAACTGTCTCTTCCGTGGTGATGGGAGAGTGGTGTCCACAGCAACCTTTTCCTTTAGAGAAGTTTTGCTGGTTCCAGGCCCCTCGAGGGCAGGATCTGACTGCAAGACTCCCCCAAACGGGTGCCTGTCTTCTAGGCTCTCCTCTGTAGCTGCTGTGTTTTCTACCTGATGCTGCGTGCCTCTCAGGGCTGAAGAGGCCAATGTTCTCCGTGGTGATTGGGAATGAGGGCTGAAGAGAAAAGCAGGGTGCCCTTTCCATCATATGAAGAGATAAAGAAGACTCCTTGGGAATCAACTCTACCGGGGAGTTCTTTTGATTTCAAAACAGGTACCCTTCTTTGGGGTTTGTCACCAAGACATGGTCTCTGAAGAAAGCTGTGGCCGTGACTTTAAGAGCAGCTGGTGTTCTGAAGCCTGCCTCTTAGCTAGTTGTCTCTGTTTTGGTCTACCTGTCTCATGTAAAACATTGGAGGTGCAGGGGAACCAAGCCCTTAGCTGGTTTTCCTTAAAGATAAGCCAGATAATTATCCCCTAGATCAGTGATTATCAAATATGCAAACATGTCTCTGTAGATATTCATGTCACTCCCTGAAAGAGGATGATAGCTCCAAAGGATATTATTATATCTTACACTCAAAATCATTGCTTTTTTTCCTTTTCTTTCAAGAATGGTAAGTTTTTAAGCTTTTACATTTTTGATTCCTTTTCACTCAGATGCCCACTTGCTGGGCAAGAGGGTGAGTCGCCAGAAAAGTAATGAAATGTAGCTTTTTTCAAATGGTTCTTTTATACTGTGGTTGATACGGGGCTGTTCCCGAAGATGTGATGAGCTGGGCTGCAGGCAGCTCAGCATCCAGCACCCGGGAGCTGCTTTTATATGCACGAAGCTGCCTTCAGAGAGGCTCCTGACTCTGCTCTGTAGCAGGTGATTTTCATCTCGCTGCCGGGAGCATGCTCTACTGTACTGGCTGTGTTCTTGGAATGCAGGTGTCTCTCTGCATCTATGTACACTGTCTTTTGATGATCAGATAATTTGTTATTTAGTTATTTATTCATCCATGTAAGGTATTTTTTCAAGTCTCCGTAGTAGTGTTTGCATGTATTTAATCAGAATGTACGGTCATTTGTGTTGTCATTTTTTTTTTTTTTTGGTAGAAATTGAGGTCGTTGGAGCATTCAAGTCTATTGTTCATAGTATTACCTTAAATTAAATTTCCAGAATATAGATATCTGTCTTCTGTAAAAGCTAATAACTATGTTAAAGCACAGCGGATTTCTTTGAATACTGTTTTGCTCATAAATTTTTATCTATAAATCAAGAGATGCATTTCTCTGGACAAAAGTTGATCTCCTCGATCAATAAAATCATGCTGAAATATGTAATATGTATTGCTTTTGTAATAAATACAATAAAAGTTATTTTTAACTAAAAGTGCAATTTTTGAAATCGCACACAAAAGAAGATAACATTGGATACATTACACATACACAGAATATTAATAACATCGTGCAAAATGTGTTTGAAACTAGCTTCTTTAAAATTATCCTTAAATTACTAGATTGTGTATATATTTCCAACTGATGGTTTGAACTGGTGACTCCTGCCTTTATCAAGTTCATTAGCTTTTCAAAATGATATCAGTGGGAGTGGGATCGTTATGGTCATGCATTATCAGCATTCTAAAGCTTTATTAATTTATTTAACAGATATTTAATGATTACCTATTGGTTGCCTTGCCATGCCATGGCTAACAAGAAGTCCCTGTCCTCTTTCTAGAGGTTATGATTGGAAAGGAAAAAGTGAACAGCAGTTCTGTAACTCATCCCTCCCTACTGGGGATGCCTTCGCTCATAAATAGCCTTGACCAAAACCGTTATTAGGCAATAGTGATGTAAATGTTTATGATAAAGGGACTTGGAACACTCTCATTAGTGTCAGTTGCAATAGAGATAAAGTGGAATGTTCATAATAACACTAGGACAATTGCAAGTTCTATAGTCCAAGGCGTCTGATAGGATGAGAACGATTTATCAGTTCTCCAAGTGCAATTGAGAGACAATGGTTATAAGTATTGCTAAATGTACTGAGCTTTAGCAATATATCTGGAGGAGTAACAATAATGAGGGTGTCACGAGTGTAATTTCCTTAGATTTCTAAGCACCTTTGCAAGTGTTTTCTTATTCACCAACCAATCCATCCTTTGTAGAAGGCAGGGAGGGTCTGGCTTCATTAACCCTGTTTTACAAACAGGTGAATGAACACCCTTTTTGAGTGGCTCACCTCCACACTGATTGAGTTTTTGTAAAAGCCCACACCTCAGAACAAGGTAAACCATAAGGTTTGTAACAGGGAAGGCTCAACAAACACAACATGCTAACTATTTTTAAATGTAGCTGGAAACTTAACAAATATATCAGGATTAGAAAATGACTATTCAGTGAGTGCCCCAGTGATGGTCATTATTTGCTTTCTGTAGCCTTAATTATTACATCATGTAACCTCTCCAGGATCTTCACTGAGGGCTCATTGTGAGAAGAGTCAACCTTCAGGCTCATTAGCTTGTCCTGGTTGGTGACAACCTTACTGGCACTTCCTGTGGAGTTGGGCTATCGCCTATTACCATGGTCTCAATGTATCCAACCTACATTCTTTGTCTTGAAAATTTGACAAAAGCCAAGGTCTCTCCTCAGAAAAAAAGTAGACACTCCATTCCATTCATGGAGGTCAGGACCTCCTCAAACCCATCCCTGGGCATCAGGGTAGGAAACCAGGAGCTAGATAACACACACCACTCACACACACACAGCATCTCCCTTTCTTTGACATGAAAAAAATCGAGACATCCATTTGATATTAACTTTTTTTAAGCAGAGGAGGATAATATATGAAATACTTTTTGCTTTTTACTGCACATTGTGGAATATTTAAGAATTTGAGTGGGTTGTAATCATGGAGAGTAATATTTTTTAAAAATCCTCACTCAAAGATATATTTTTATTGATTTTTAGAGAGAAAAAGGGAGAGATAGATATAAAGAGACAAAGAGAAACAGAGAAACATCAATTGGTTGCCTCCAGACCACATCTCAACGGGGATGGAACCGGCAACCTAGGTATGTGCCCTGACCGGGAATCAAACCCACAACTTTTTGGTGTAAGGTTAGCCTTCGGACAACTGAGCCATCCAGCTAGGGCAATGCTTTTTTTTTCTTAAAAACTTCAAGGCACTGCCTTCTTTGATTCTCATTAAGCCCATGACAGCTATATTACTTTAATCGTTACAGGCAGAACTCCCTCCTGAATTCCCAAAGGCATTTAAATGTCCTTTCTGGTTGTATGCAATACCTTAATGGTGAAACCAGGTCAGATTCTATAGGCAAATTTATCCTTGCAATTAAAGGAAATAATTTCACAAACAGAGGGACCCTTGGGAAGCAGCATTCCAAATCTAATGAGGCCTAGCCTCGAACAGTGTTAACGCCCTTCACCGACCACCCTGCCCACTTTCAGGAAACACCTTGTTGATCCACTTGGGTTTTCTTCATTAATGATCTGCTTACATTATTGTTTACATTCAGTTTTCGCTTCCTAAGATCTCTCCTCTCTCATCCATTCCATTGCCTTTTCAGAATTTATGGATGGGATGGGAAGTGCTCCCTAGGCATGATTTATTAAGGCCTATTAAACATTCTTTTCCACGTTTAAATTTCTGAATCATTTTAATCCACAGTTTGACCCTTACTCTCTGCATTCGTCCGTGTTTCAGATGGAAGTTGTTTTCAGTGGAAGGTGTCAGCAAACCCAAAGTACTAGCACCTTCTGTGTGACAGAAGGTGACAGTCACCTGCAGTGAACTTTGGAGATTAGCAGTCTGAGACTAGACTGGAGCTCCCTCAACCATCAAGGACCCAGGTCCTTCTGACATGTTAACTCACCATCCTCAAAGCATGTTAGATTCTACCTCTTGTACAATATAGCTACTCAAACTACGGGAACTGGGTCTATGCTATATTCCAGTCAGCAGGAAGGAACAAAAAGGGCACACCAACTTCTGTTAAGGATATTTCCTAGGTGTTGCATATAACATTTATGCTCACATCCCATGGGCCAAAGCTTCGTCCAAGGCAAGACAGGCTGGGATTTTTTTTTAAATTTCAGGTGGTCTTGTGCCAGCAATAAATATGGGTTTAATTACTAAAGAAGAAGGATGAAATGGATATTGGTAAGGGTTAGCTATCTGGTAGCAGGGACTTTGCAGCAAGTCTGGATAACAAGGTGAGCAGTAGTCTTTGCAGTTATGCTGGCATCACTTAAAGAGAGAGTACTTTTCCTTCATCAAGTCTGATCTTGCCATAGTGCATAGTGAGTCTTGACTCACAACCAAAGCCAACGCTACAATATTTCGTGAACAATGAGACCTTTTGAAAATTTGTATTAGTTTTATTCTCATATAATCCGCATACAGGCTACTTTTCTGGCCCAGGTTTTTCTTGGTGAGGCATTCAAGAAATACCAAGTCAATATACAAAAACTAATTGGAGAATCAATTTGAATATTTTGTGAATTGATTTGACAAAGGCCAAAGTGAATGCATTCATAACATAGCATAGAACTTAAAACCATCTCCCAATTCTCTCAAAATCTCCCTCTCTCTCTCTCTCTCTCTCTCTCTCTCTCTCACACACACACACACACACACACACACACACACACACACACCACAGCATGTACACCCATTGTTGAACTCCCCACAACCCTCCCCCTAGCCTAGGCATGGCTGGCTTTTGTTGTCCTACCCTTCCCCATTCACCTGATCTCTTCCACTAATTACTGCCTGCCCATTCTTTGTAAAGCAATCAAACCAGTCTCAATACAATTCTGCACCTGACCTATTGCCCTAGTTCTCCAGGAAACAATCTAGATTAGATTAAATTGCTCTTAATGTTCAAAGGTCTAGAAGAGCCTGTATAGCTTATTTATTAATTTATCTGACCTTGGACACATAATAAAACATATAACTCTATAACCCCTTATATGTAATTGCAAAATCTAAATAGCTTTAGAAAGAAAGATTTCTTCTAGTTTATTTGTCAAGCAAAACCTGACCTTAACTTTGTGAGGGCATTTATAGTCTCGACAGCCCACTTGGTAGAAATAATTTTATACTTCATGGAGAAATATTAGTAAAACAATATTATAAGCAATATAGGACCTTTCTGAAGTCCTAATAATTCTGAATTGGAAGTAAACCATTGAGATGGAGAATTATTTGCAATTATTTCCCGTGACAATGCTCTATTTTATGCCTATGTGGGAGTAGACAAAATTTTCTTCCACTTTTTAAAATTATTTGTTGTACAAGCACAATATACAATAGGCACTGTGAAATATGTGTGCCTCAAGAAGTTGAACATGTGGTATGTTAAGAAAAATTACTCAGAACTTGGAACTAGGCAAAAGAGATCATTGGAGAAAGTTTTCAGTGGATTACTAAGTACGGTCTAGCAGACCCTCTCTGGGGATTACCATTTCCCCAGAAATTGCACAGCGGTGTGTAATTCTGTTTCATTTGCTACTAACTATAAAAAGTAGAAGCCAATTTGTAAAAAACAGATAAGAATGCAAGTGATTCTTTTCTGAGAACAATACAAATGATTCTGATCACAGCAAAGCAAATTAATTTTGTCCAGTAAATTCATTTTCATCAGTTAGAAAAGCTGATTCCAAATATTAGTTTGTTGCCCTGTCTAATATTAACCAGTTTTGCATCTACTGGAAAAGTGATTTCAGAATGCCTTTTCCTGACTGACTACATTAATCTTTGTTCCTCAAATTCTTCTTTGAACTAGGTATAGCATCTTAATGGTCCCTCATTCATTGAGTTGCGTAAAACCTCTGACACATACTCATTTTATATTTACATACCAAGTCAATATACAAAAACTAATTGGAGAAGCAAATTGAATATTTTGAGAATTGATTTGACAAAGGCCAAAGTGAATGCATTCATAACATAGTGTAGAGCTTCTTAAAACCATTTCCCAATTCTCTCAAAATCTTACACACACACACACACACACACACACACACACACACACACACACACACCAGTATGCCCCTTGTTGAACTCCCCACAACCCTCCCCCTAGCCTAGGCATGGCTGGCTTTTGTTTTCCTACCCTTCCCCATTCACCTGATCTCTTCCACTAATTACTGCCTGCCCATTTTTTGTAAAGCAATCAAACCAGTCTCAATACAATTCTGCACCTGACCTATTGCCCTAGTTCTCCAGGAAAAAATCTAGATTAGATTAAATTGTTCTTAATGTTCAAAGATCTAGAAGAGCCTGTAATGCTTATTTACTAATAAGCATTATGAATGTTATTAACCATTGAAAACAACTTTAAAAGGTGTTTACTCTCTAGC